CTCGACGCTCCGCACTTGTGACCTTGTACCAAACTAATCTGAGTGTTGTATCCGGAACAAAGGAAACGGAAGCACCATTTCAGCTATTGTTCAGAAATAGAAGTACCGTGTCGGCCATATTTTTTATGTGTTAATAAAAGAGCTAGAGATTGCTTCGGTGGACAGAAGGCTTAAGTCGAAACTGCGTTGGCGTTGTTACTACAGACCCCCTCTTGCCAAGTTTTGACAATAAGCTTTCTCAATACCCATAATTAATGAGCAATGTCTTTTCAGGAAGTGTACGATCATGGCACACTTCCTTTCACTTTTAGCTGTTAGTAACGGTTGCCTTTTTAACATCTCTCCCACTCCGCCTCGACATTCATTCACACAATTTGGTTAAGTAGGTTCAATGTTTTCTCCTACTGCTTCTTTTTTCCTTTGATATGTTCAGTGAGTTTCAAAATCTCCAAGCCTTCTTTTCTCATTATGCCCCCCAGAAATGTCAGCTGATTATTTCTGACTCTAAATATAAACGTCATTTTTCTCTACGTCTTCCTTAAGATGTTCTCGTTGCTTACACGCTCCGTACAGCATCCTTCTGTAGAACCACATTTCTGCTGTCTCCAGTTTTCTATGTGTCTGTGAATAAACTGGCCAGCATTCACTGCCAAAAAGAATTCCACTGTCTGTGATGGACGTTACTCCAAGGAAGCGTGCGAAAATTGTAACACTGTACGAACAGACTGTTATGCCTTACCAGTGAGCAAGTCAAATTACTATAGACTGGCCCGGAAACTGCCCTGATTTAAATCCAATCGAGAATCTGTGGTCAATCTGCAAAAACGACTTTGTGGAATGGACATACCAATTATTACATGTGCATTGAGGCATGTTACATTGGAAAAATACGAAAAAGTAAATAATAACGGAATTGTTCGTTTTGTTTCAATTAATTTGCACAATGGCGTAGTTTCATTTACTTCCCAAAATTGCAGTTCGATAGGATCGTCCGCTTAAATGCGATTGAAAATAATTGCTGCGACAAAGTGCTGTGCAGCAAATTGCTACTACAACACTCATATAAAAATTATAGTTTCGTTGAACGCTTATCAATTTATTGTTTGATCGGTTGCTTTTGTTTAGAGGCATAGCAACATCTATGGGTTATTTAATAACGAAATCTAAATATTTTGAACACAATTTTATGGCTTTAACTAGGTAAACTCTATTGTTGGTCATTTTACTATAAATATGTATTGTTGGACAATTTTTATATAAAAATGTATTTCTAGTATTATATTTTCATAATGTTTGTTTTGTTTAAGGGAGTCACTATTTTCCCATTGCTGGGACCCTAAGTGTCAGAGTGGACCTGGGAACAACAGCATTTAAGAGATTATTCCACGATCCTCAAAACCTCCAGATCAGAGGTCTTGCTACCGGATGTAGTTTACCATTATACCCAGAAGTAGAATGCTTATCTTCTCTTATTGTAGGAAAAATAAATAACTTACTAAAATATTTCTAAAAAGCTTAAATAGAATAAAATAAAAATAAAAAATTGAAAAAAAAAATGACTCCGGGCGATTTTTTACCAGCGTCGGGGAAATGATTCGAAATGTCTCTCTTCGAATAGCGACCGACAAAACGCTAGTTTTCGCCTGAATGACGCAAGTCAAAATATCAACTATCAATTTGCTTACACATGGTAGCACCGTTGTGCTTAAAATCATCAAATAGAAAACGAAACGATAATCGACTTCTCCGATGGCTTTACTATCGTCTTTAATAGTATCATTATTTTCAACGTCTCCATCTTGTGCTTAAAAAAGAAACCAAACGAAGAACATTGATTTTTTTTCCTCTTTATAATCAGTTCACGTTCCTGATTCGGAGCCTGTAATTTCGAAACCTTCCTTATTCCCAATCAAACGCGTGATTGGAATTTAGATTCTTGAAAGTGATGGGGGTTTATTCCTTTTCATTTTCCAGTGTGCATAGGATTCAAGGCTATCTATATGCAAGGATTACTTTGTGGACAGCAGCCGCAATTGCCTTTTACATAATACTTCTTTCTCTTATGTCTTTTAGTATTATATTAAATGTTTGGAATATAAGCTCATAACATCTTCAAATGCTATCTCTGTTTTACTTAACTCATTCTTTAGGTTATTAAAACTAGGAACATAATAAAAGTAGGGACGTAATAAAAGTAGGGACATAATAAAAGTCGGGACATAATAAATGTAGTAACATAATAAAAGTAGGGACATAATAAATGTGGTAACATAAAAAAGTAGGGACATAATAAAAGTAGGAACATAATAAAAGTAGTAACATAATAAAAGTAGGGACATAATAAATTTAAGGAACACTAACGAGTGAAAAATAATCAAGGAAATTGTTTAAGCCAATAGGAAATTATTAATCTTGAGTATTTGTCAGAAATTACCGATGAAATTAATCTTCAAAATCTTATTCTACCGACAATTAAAGGTAGCTTCGAGTGAATGAATTATGTGTGTCTTAGAGAGTACATTCATTTTACGAACCACGTTCTCTGACACTACAAAATCACAAAGAACTGTACTAAATAACAGAAACTATATCTGTTGAGTATTTTTAACAACTAAAATGGATCGTAAACGCAACTGGAACAGAAAATTATGACATAATCAGGTATATCTAAGAAGACGATTGTTTTTAAGGCAGCTTTTCCTCGACAAATCAAAAGCATGGGCAAAAGAAAAAGAAGAAATGGGAGGAAAAAAGGCCCAGACGAATTTGACGTCAAAGTCTCAAGCAAAACAAAATCTCGTAGATATTTCGTTAGTTTTTTTTTATTATGCAAGAAGGAAGCTATCATCTGATTAGTAATAATAGCAGTTTTGGTATCCTTAACAAGGTAAATGTAACATATAACTCATGTAGAATGTAAGCGAAAATCAATTTTAGAAATTGCTTACACGAGCGTCTGCTGCACTGTAAGATGGTTTGGCAGACTTCAATGCTCTTTGAACTCTCTACAAATAAGGGAAACGAAAGAAATACTGTACGTAAGTGATTATCTTTTGAACGAAATAATTAAGTCTCAATTTTTTCAAGAGTTTAGAAAATGGATGAATTTTTCTTGACCACAAAATTCAACACTCACTCTGATAAATAATTTAATTACTGGAAACTGCTTACTTTTTACAAGGTCCTCGCCCTATCATTACACTGTAGGATAATATATACGCATGCGCGTAAAGATTTCACCGTTACAAACATCCTTCTCCGATTACATCAATCTTAACCTCTTCAAGTCTTGAGTCAATCATTATATATCTTACATATCTACATTTTTATGAGCGCGTACTAACAGAGGACGGTAGGTGCAACGCTGAGATCCAAGGACGTGATGGAATGGGCAAGGGCGCATTCCAAAAGCTAGGCAGAGTATTACATGACAGGAGGATTTCTTTGGTAACAAAGAAACGAGTACTGAGCTGTTACCTGATATCTGTTCTCCTTTACGACAGCGAACTCTAGGCAACGGATGTATGGTTCTCAAGAAGGATGCTAAGGATATTATGAACCGAGTGTGTGAGCAACGATGAGGGTTTTGTAGAGGATGCAAACAAGTAGGAAGCTTATACTTAACATCAGGAAGAGGCAGCTGAAACTTCTGGGACACGTAATGAGAAAGAAATGCTTAGAAAATCTGATACTCACAAGGCGTATAGAGGAACAACGGAGAGCAACGCGTGACATACCTAGCGGTCATAAGTAAGTGGATTACAGAACAGGGTCTGGGAGAAGTAGCAAAAAGAGAAAACATATTGAAAACTACAAGGGATAGGAGGAAGTGGAGACCCATGATCGCCTACGTTCTGAAAGGACACGCCACATAAAAGCGGTTAAAACGTTCGCTTTTTGACCATGAGATCCGGTTTCAAATCTCATCATGGTCGATTTGACAGGAATGTGATATTATAGGGCTGGTGGGGTGTTCCTGTCGTGTGGAACCTTTGGAACGTGCCTGGAAAGCATACCAAGTCTTGACCCAAGCACTGTGAGTGAGATTGTGTAGACGTAGCTATTTGGGAACCGTCGCTGGTTGTACTAACACGAAGTCCCAAGTCATCGTCACAGAAGGCTTGAAGGTATTGTCCTTGTTCTAACTGTTGATTATGCGCTCTCTCCTAGAAATTGTAACTAAGGTCAGCTCAGCATAGCTGCAGTATGAACCCCAGGTGGGATCTGTGAGTGTTGAACAAACACAAATATGCCTGAGCAGGCGTCTGCAAAAGAGATTGATTAGCCAGCCTAGTACACAGGCATAACCGGATACGAGATACCAGCCATTATTATTATATATTCACATAATCTGTATTTGCTTCCTTCTTAACAATCTCATTCCGTAACTGTCTAATTTGAGTGGCCATTGAGACTTGATTTGGGTGAACATTTGGTAAGAAAAAGATATCAAAATTTTCCGATAAATATCTTCAAATATTCAATGTTAATTCAAATGTAACTTCAAATGTAATTTCAATCGACATCTAATGCCGTGATCCTGATCCCCATCTTTCTCTATAACCTTTAATCAAACACCCCTCTTTACTCTTGTTCTCATTCTCTGTAACCCCATGCACTCCCGACTTGATTGGGATAAAATGCTTAAAAAAACATATGCATTATATTTTCTCTTAATGATACAATAATATAAATTATTTTTTTTTCTTTTTTTCTTTCATTTGTTTGTTCTTCTTTATCATCTTTTCCGTCGTCATTTTTTCTTTTTTATTCCGAATTAATTATTTATTAATTAATTTAATTAATTTATATTTTTTCTATTTATATTATTAAACATATTTAGAACTGCATTTATATTTATATGTATATTATTAAACATATATAGATTTACATTTAGACTTAGTTTTATATTATTTATATTATTAAACATTTATTAAGAAAAAGGTATCAAAATTGTCCAATAACTACTGCATATTTTTCATTTATAATGATACAATAATATGAACCATTTTCTTTTTTCTTTCTTTCTTCTATTTTCATTCTTTTTGCTTTTATTTGTTTTTCTTTTCTTCATACCTGATTTTTCTACATTTTCTCTTCTCATTTACTTTGATTTATCTTCTTTCTTTCTTTTTATTTCTTTCGTTTTATTCGTTTTTATCATCTTTTTCTTCGTCATTTTTCTTGTCTTCCGAATTATTTTCATTATCTCTTTCATCTCCATCAGTTTCTTTTCTTCTTCTTCTCTCGCTTTTTTTCTTCTTTCTTCCCATATTTCACGTCCTTCTTTAGTTTTATTTCTTTATCCACTGTAAACCGTTATTTTTGTTTCCTATTCTTTCCTTACATACTTCTTCTCTTTTCACTTTTCTCTTTTTGTTTCTTCTCCTTTCTTCTCAATTCTATTTCTTCTTCTTCATCATCATCTTTTGTTCTCCTTCTCTTTCCTTCCTCTCTATCTTTGTTTGAGGCAAACAGAATCATCCGTGAATACTTCATCTAATATATGCTCTGACATGATCTGTGAATTTATTATTCAAAGCTCGCTTATTTCCAGAAACGGTACGATTCGCCTTTCTGTTTCACTGTCTGCATCCAAACGCAGAGCTTCATCGATTACATTCTTTGAATGTCAATCACTTGTTCACTGTTTGGCCAACGATGTCTAATGTTACCACGTGTCTCGCTTTTCATAAATAGAGGAAATTTAAATGCCACAACTTTATCAATGTAAGTATTATTGCGTCAGGGAAAATAGCGCATTTGATGCAAGTCAAACCGCATACAGAGGCAAATATTCCTAAGGGACTTTGATTCGACCCAAACGTACTTATAAAATTATGTACTCGTTAAATGACGAAAGGTTTCTTAAAAGATCTTAACACGACTCACATCTAAATATTCAGAATTCAAATGACCAAACATCTAAATACTGATTTTTGGTGTGTGTCGCTTTTTGCAAGCACTCACAGTTGTTTAAAAAAAAGGTTGCATAAATAATGAATTAGATATGAAATAATGTAATTTACATGAGCAAATGAGAACAGTCACTATATATGCATATATATTCTTGAAGCTATTTACGGAAAAAAGTTGAAACCTAACCTGAACAAAAGAAACTACGAAATCTACACAAATATTCGTAAATGCCTATAATTGAAAACAGAAGCCATTCGTTTATACCAAAAGCTTCCCGTACTTAATACTTCTCGCTTTCACTCCCACGTGGTCATGTGTGACCTCACGAGCTGCGACGCGATTTTCGCTCCCGCGTCTCGTATACACGAGTTAGTTGTTGCTTTGAAATTTTTCATACAACAAAAACAGACTATCATTATTGTTTCGTCCGCGTATTCGTTGATATATTGAAAAGTAATTGTCATCTTTGATAATGGCATATGTAAGCCGAAAGCTTAGATTGGATTTAAACATGTATCAATATGGTGATTTCCTTTCGTTTTTCAATGATAATGTTATTAAGCTTATCAGTCAATATAAAAGAAACTTACTTAAAATAAATAGACAAAACTTTTCTATATTATTTAATGAAACATGCATTAATAAGAGATAGATAGATAGATAGATAGATAGATAGATAGATAGATAGATAGATAGATATGGAAAAAGAGGAATCCGACAAAATGATAAGATAAAGAATAAACAGGAAGCGGATCTTTATCTAACATATTTCATTTTATTAACGCTTCATCAGAGATCTTGATAGAATGGATGAAAAATGATAAAAATCAGTGACGATTACATAAAAATCAATGAAGTTATATAGAAAATACGCACAATATATACTTTAATGAGAGATCACAACAAAACAAAATTTTTAAAAACATCCTGCAGAGTCTCACTAACTTGTAGACACTTTAGCATCTAGAATGTTTTCTTACACATATCTGTTACACTTCATTACATGAGACACGTACCTGCCAATGTGGAATAACGAAACACAACATACTATGCGTCTCTTTGTTTTTTTCTCATTTTTGTTTCATTTCTATCTTGATCTCTGCGGAAGCATCAATAAAGTGAAAAATGTTAGACGAACATATACTACTGGTTCTTTATCCTATCATATATATATATATATATATATATATATATATATATATATATATGACAAAATATAGTTTTAAAGAATGGTATATTTATGGGTTAAAGTGCTCAGTATCAGGGATAGAGCGGATGTAAATATTAAAGTGGACATTGGAATCAACACAGAGAGGCGACAGACTGTTTCATGCTAAACGCAGTCATCAAGCCATCTATCTATATATATGTGTGTGTGTGTCTGTGTGTGTCTGTGTGTCTCTGCGTGTAATATATATATATGTGTGTGTGTGTGTGTGTGTGTGTGTGTGTGTGTGTGTGTGTGTGTGTGTGTGTGTGCAGTGCTTATTGGAAAGCGCTCAATACCAGTGACAGAGCTAATAATATATTTAGTTGAATGGATATGAGTTTGTGACCCTAGATTTCACGCTTATGCGATCCTCAGACAAACTAATTTATTTTTAAAAAATTGAGTATATTTATGTCAATTTTAGTTTAATGATATATATATATATATATATATATATATATATATATATATATATATATATATATATATATATATATTACAAATACTTTCATGGCAATTGCTCCGAGGAGCTGCATTCGCTGGTTCCCAGACTTCATGAGTTCAAGCGCCCGAGGAGGCTCGCATCCCGCTCTCACTCCTTCACTGTCGAAACACTGAAATATAGCCGTCTCTTCTACTCCAATAGCTTCATGTCTCGCACCTCTCGCCTGTGGAACTCCCTTCCCTATTCTAGTTTCCCTGAGAGCTATAATAATAAATGTAATGTCAATCGACATCTCTAGTTGCCTTGATCTATCCACTACCCTTCTCCTCATCCTTTCTTCTATCACTCCTATCTGCTCTTGCTCCAAATTATCTGCAACCCCTTGCGTCCTAGTGCCTTCCCGCCTTGCTTGGGGTGAAACGCTTAAAAAATATATATATATATATATATATATATATATATTAGGAATGGATTTTCATTTTGCAATTTACTGCTTAAACGTTAATTTTAATGAATAACCCTATTTGATGGGTATTCTTTAAAAATGACGTTTGAACAATAAATTTATATATATATATATTTGGGCTTAACCATTTTCTGCTCAGAATCAACATTTAACCACCTCATGGCCTCTAACGTCCACATGTGTTTGCATACGCCTGCTATATGAATATCATATTTCCTGTCCTGATGGGCAGCGTATATTTATATCCCAGCATACTATTTGGCAGTACTTCTCTCTCACTCACTAATACTAATACTAACAATAATAATAACGAGATGAATACTTATCCGTTGCCATTGAAGATTTTCCAGAATCGAATCGGTTGATGGGAAGTAAAGATTTCTGCAATGCTCAGACATATAAAATGAAAACAGTGTTCGTTGAAAGAAACCAAAAACAAGCTCAATGGACAGTTATGCATATGAAATCAATATATCAAAACCTTATAAAACGCAAAAGAAAAGAAATGTTTTCCCGGTTGATGAAAATGGAACATATGTCGGGTCACAAATTATAATAGTTTCAAATTAACAGCGTGAAATGCACTTCATTATATAGCGAACAATGAAAATAGACTAATATATGCTAATATATTTTTTCCAAAAATGCATTACTGGTAATATTTTTTTTTTTTTAAATCCATTGCTGGTAATATTTTTCTTCAAAAATGTAATGCTGGTAATATTTTTTTCAAAAATTTATTACTTAAAATAATTTTTAACAAAAAATTATTGCTGAAATTAAAACTTATTTTGACACTTTCATAGACTTTGACTCCAGTTTGGGGGTTAACTATTTGCCCATAGCTGGGACCCTAACAGGTGCTGCCACCCCGGGTCAGGGTGGAACTGGGAACACCAGCAATTAAGACGTGGTTCCACGCTCCTCAAACCTCCTGATCAGAGGCCTTGTTGTTGGATGTAGTTTATGGTTTTACCCAGGACGCGGACGTAATTTATCATTTCATCCAGGACGCGGAGGTAGTTTATCGTCTTACCTAGGACGCGGAGGTAGTTTATCGTCTTACCCAGAATGCGGACGTAATTTATCATTTTACCCAGGACGCGGATGTAGTTTATCGTCTTACGCTGGTAGCGGACGTAATTTATCATTTTACCCAGGATGCAGATGTAGTTTATCGTCTTACCCAGGTCGCAGATGTAGTTTATCGTCTTACCTACCACACATTGCTTTTGCTGTAACAGGAAAACCATTAAACGATCAGCACCAAATTCTACTGTTTTGTTGTATATTTTTGGATTGATTCTTGTACAAACTGATTTTCTGAATTTGTCGCATTAAAATTCTATTCTATTTTGCTATCTTCAACAAATCTCCCTCCCATCCATGTTTCTTTATCCCATAACAGGTGTTCTTTGCTAGGGGTTTTCCTCTTATTCAATTTTAGTCTTATTCAATTTTGTTTTGTTTTATTTTTATGGATAGCTTTTTTGCTGCGATGCATCCATTTAGATAAATTTTAGATTTTATTTTAGCATTCTCATTTTCTATATGAATTAGCACTTCCTTCAGTATAATGCTGTCTTCGTCTCTTAAGTGATGAGTCGTTAATTTTATGTTGTATACTGATAATCACACCAGGTTAATTTTCTTATCCAAAACCTTCCCAAAATAAACAAACTTCTTCTGGGTAACTTGAACAGCCAACATGCCCCGGTCTTCCAGGTTCCTTAGCGAAAGATTGATTCGCTTTTGTTTTGTTTTTTTGTTTTTTGGTTTTTTTTTTTATTTTTTTTTTTTTTTTTAAGCATTACGCCCCGAGGAAGGCGTGAAGCCACTAGGATGCAGGGGGGGGATGCAGAAGATTTGGAGCGAGAGCAGATAGGAGTGATAGAAGAAAGGATAAGGAGAAGGATAGTGGATAGATCAAGGTAACTGGAGATGTCGATTGACATTACATTTGAATAGTAGGAGATTATAGCTCTCAGGGAAACAGTAATAGGGAAGGGTGTTCCACAGGCGAGAGGTGCGAGGTAGGAAGCTATTGGAGTAGAAGAGACGGCTACATTTAAAAGTTTCTACAGTGAAAGGGTGAGAGTGTGATGCCAGCCTCGTGGAGCGCTTGAATTCATGGAGTCTGGGAACCAGTGAAAGCAGCTCATCGGAGCAATTACCATGAAAGTATTTGTAAAAAAGACAGAGAGAGGCGACGGCGCGTCTGTGAGAGAGTGACTGTAGACGAGATGCCAGATAAGGGCCAATTATATTACATATCTGTCTCTGGATCTTGTCAAGAACTCCGAGGTAAACAAAAGGTGCACCAGACCATTATTTATTTTATTTTGCTTTTCTTTCTTTTTTTTTCTTTTTTTGTAACATTTCATCCTTTTCTCAAATTTCTCCTGAATCATCTACGCTAAAAAAAATTTAAAAAAAAACAAATTGAAAGCTCCTAACTTTATG